CAGGAGCCCCGGCGGGCAGGTGGGGGGAGTGGGCAGTCCAGCGGAGGCACCGCTCTGTCCAGGGCAGTGGGAGCCTGGAGTGCCAGCTGCAGGTGCCCCGTGGTCAGTAGGAGCCGAGGGCAGCGGGGCAGCCAGTTGCCTGGGGTGGGGGGCTGGTGGGGGGCAAAGCTGCTCGGGAGCTAACAGGCTCTGTCCCTACCCTAGTGCTGGCTTCTGTGGGTGGTCCCGGGCTGAGGGAGACCCTGCAGGGGGCGCGGGGGGGACCTGATGGGGTGGGCGGGGGCTGGGCTCCTGGACTGCCACTCCTCAGGGTTTGCCCACACGCACGCCTTGTCCTGGAGTCCTCGCAGGGCGGTGGTGCTGTCAGTGAGGCTGGGACCCCTACAGGTGCCTGTCCCTAGTTGGGGTTTTGGCTGCAGGACAAGGGATGTGCAGGGCTGCTCTCACTGCCTGGGCGGGGGGTGTAGGCAGAGGAGAGATCTGCCCCACCACAGGCTGGCTGCTTTCGCCCCAAGCTACTGACCGCCAGACCCAGAGCCACAGGGCGGGGCGGGGGGGGGGGGTGCCTGGGGTCTCTGACCAGCTTCCCCAGACAGGGCTCCTGGGACAGCTTCACCCAGATTGCAAAGCAGTAGGTTTCAGGCCAGAGCCCAGATGCGCTCGAGGTCAGCTTCCCGGGGTGAGCTGAACTGGGCAGGGTGGCATGGTTGTGGGCTTGGGGGCAGGTGGGAGCAGAGCCCTGGCTCCTGAGTGAGGCTACAAGTGCGGTCATTGGAGATGATCCAGGACGGGCGAGGAGGTACTGAGACTGAAGCTGGGACAGGTGGGTGGAGTGGATGGAGAGGCCTGGGCCACTACCAGGAGCCCCGCCCCCTTCTCAGCCAGAGCTGGGGGTGGAGCAGCAGGGCTAGGAGAGGAGAGTGTGTTGCTCCCCTTTCCTCAGGATGGCTCCACTCGCTGCCAGAGGAGAGCCGGGGTGTGGGGGACCAGGGGAAACTTCCCAGTAGAGTGCATCTTGGGTGGGGGTGGGGGTGGGGTAGCCCCTGGCTCTCTGTCCAGGGCAGAGCTGGGTACTACATCTCCCTGAACCCTCAGGACCCCGCAGTGGACAAGTCCATAGTGGGTAGGGATCCCATGAGGTAAAGCTAAGGACGCTTGTCCCCCTAGGACTGGGCGGATGGGACACCTGTTCTGGGGCCTACCTCTCCCTCATCCTCTTCCCTGGCCAGAGCCTCCTCATCTGAGCAGGCAGCTACCCCTCCCAGACAGAGGTGGAATCAGAGCTGTTGGGCCCAGGTGGTCCCTCCTAGCCTACCCCATCCAGCTTCCAGAGGCCCCCCGGGCAGCCTGAGCCAGGGAAAGTCCGGGAGCAAAGCCTCAGGAACGCCCCACTGGTTACCAGGGAGGGGATGACCCAAAGGTTCCTGGCCTGGGGCCAAGTGAGGTCTCCCCACCCTGGTCTGGGCCTCATCACACCCTTCACATGATCCAGACCCAGAGGGGTCAGGCTGCCCTGCCTATTTTTCTGGGACATGAGGGCTCTCTACCAGGCTGGGCCAACTTACTCTAGTTCCAGCTGACCCTCTCCTGTTGGCTCCGTGACCTCCCAGGGCACTGTGTGCCCAGCGGCCATTAAAGCCTCAAATACCAGCCCCTGCTAGCGCCAGTCCAGGACTGGAGGGCAGTAGGCACTTGCATGGCCTTAGTCAATAGCCCCAGGCTCTCTGGCTGTAAGCCTGGCGCTGCCTGGACCCAGATGGTTTCCCTCAGCTGACAGCTCCCAGCTTCTTGGAAGAGGTCAGCACCTCTCCCTTCTCTTCATCCCTCTCTGAGCCCCCACCTGCCACAGATTTCTTACCCAGATCCATCTGGGCTGACACCTCCTCAGAGGGGTGAGCAGGACAAGGATGCTGTCTCCAGTCAGAGGAGAAAACTAAGGCCAGGATAAGGACCTGGGACTTTTAACTGACACCCTGGTGAGCGCCTAGATGAGAACGGGGTAGCGAGGCTGACAAAGTGTCCGTCCGTGGCCCAGCCTCTCTGCCCCCTAAATCCTCAAGACCCTAATGGCATTGCCAGGGTCAGAGGGGCTAGGTTACTCTGAGAGGGAGGGTGGTTTGAGCCAGGGCTCCCAGCCTTGCTTCCAAAGTGGGCATTGAAGGGGCTGCCTAGGCTGGCGGAGGGCTGCTGGGACAGAGGCAGAGGGGCAGGCAGAGGGGAGGTGGGGAGGGGTTCCTGAGCTGGAGACGCATCTCTTTCCCACCTGCGACACCTCCTCTACCTCCTTGCATGCCCCATCCCCCAGCCCTGCACAAGGAGGCCTCGGTAGCAAACTCCTAAAACGCCTCCTGGCATGATGCTTTGTCGAACATCCTCCCGAGGCTGGTTCCCACTGTCCATGTGAAGTCCAACCCCTTGGCCAGACGCACAAGGCCCTTTGCCAATCGGCTGTGCCAACCTTTGTGGCCTCCTGGCCCATCTTGCTTAACCTTATCCCCAACATTCTAACTACACCAAACTGGGTGTCCCTGCCCTGGGATGGAGCCAAGCACAGCTCAGAGGCCAGCTCAGTGACTGTGATGGGTTCAACTGGACACACACGTGCCCACACCCTGGTCTGGGCTTCATCACGTCCTTCACATGATCCAGACCCAGAGGGATCAGGCTGCCCTGCCTATTTTTCTGGGACATGAGGGCTCTCTCCCAGGCTGGGCCATTCATATGCAGACATGCACCTTTGTATAAAAGTCCACCACCCAACTGCATGTAGTTTCCTACCAGATCACACACACACGGAGCTGGGAAATCTGAGCCAAGAAGGGTCTAACAAATCTGGCTTATGGATGCCTAGAGACACCGAGTGTGGTCCTGTCACCATCCCCAAGTCCTTGAGGGGCAGCAGGGAGGCAGGAGTGGGTCCCCGGTTGACTCAGCCCTCACTGGACCCCAGGGTCTCCGAGCCTGAGGGTGGGCAGAACATGGTCAACCAGGTCCCAACCAGGTTCTGATTCTGGTTCTGTGTCAAGACTTGCTGTGTAGCCCCAGACAGGCCACCTTCCCATTCTGTTTTCCCAGCTATAAAGCAAAGGAATTTGGATTAGCCAACACCTACAGGCTACCCAGGCTCACTGTCCAGCTGCTCTCAGTCCGTGGCAATTTCAGAGAATGGAAGGGCCTGTGAGAGCAGCAGTCGAGGGCGCCAGGCACCCCATAGGAGCTCCGGCCGGGCCAGGAAGAGTCTGGGCTGGAAATGCGGTGGGTGCAAGGGCAGCAGGAATCTGAGCCAGGAGAGACAGAAGCCACGAGCCAGGAGATAGGAGCAACGATTAGGAACATACTTGGCATTTATGGAGCAGATAATAAGTCCTATGAACACTCACCATGCAGGGTTTATCTCATTTTCAACTCGATTGAGGCCAAATATATGCTCTTTTATCTTGGGGATACCAAATGAGCAAATCTAATGGGTGAGGCTCGATCCAGCCCCTGGCTTCCCAGTCCCCACAGACACAGAGCAGGGGCCAAGGTGGCACTGGGGAGCCGCTGGCAAGGCCCCACTCCCACCCAACCCCTCAGCAGGTATGTCAATAGCTATGGGCACGCAGCAGCATCTCTTGTGCTGAGTATCTATGAATACAAACATGCATCCCCCTCTTGGCATGCCAACACGAACATGCACACACATGTACTCATTGGGGACGTGGCAGACAGGTCCTCCGCCACCAGCCAGCCCTCTCCTGCTCTCGCCTGGAACTGGACACCCGGTGCTAAGACTCATGGTCCCGAGAGCAAGGATTGAAGCAGGGTCAGGCCATGTGTAGAGGTTGCCAGAGGAGAGCCAGCACAGGGCATTGTCACGTGGGGACGATATCCCCTAAGACTATGACCGCCCCCCTCCCCCCCATCAGAAACTTCACGCAGGGCAGAAGGAGCTGGTGCCTCTGCATCGAGTGGTGCAAACTCTCCTCTTCCCCAAACCTCCGTGGCCCCAGAGCCCTGCTCTCCTTGCTCACCTCCCTCTCAATCCCCGACCTGCCCGATGTGCTGTCCGGGTCATGAACCGTCTGCCAGCTGGGCTGTCCAGAGCTCAAGTGGGGCAGGAAGGCTGTTCCCAGGGGGAGGGCAGGCCAGCTCTGGCCAGAGCCACTCACACCTTCAGAAAGGAGGGGGTGGCTGGGGTGGCAGAGGGGCCAGCAGCAGCAGCCCAGGCCTCGCTGTTCTCTATGGCTTTTTATTCCTATGTGATTCTACTGCTCACTCATATAGGGATTGGAGCCGTGGCGCACGGCGGGGGCGGCCAGCGGCGGGCATGGATGCTGAGCCGGGACATCGGCCCACCTTCCCTCAGCACAGGCAGATGGCCTGGCCAAGGGACCCTCCTCTGTTGCTTTCCTCCCCACTGGCGGAGGGACTGTTGGACCCCATCACTGCTCTGACCCACCATCCAAGGCTGACCCCCATAACAAGGCTAGGACCAGGAATGGGACTGTGTCCCCATAGGAGTGGCTGAAGGAACTGGGGGTTTTCAGCCTGACAAAAAGGCTGCCACAGGGAACAAGGCCCAGTGTCCTGTGTGGCTGGGGTGGCCCCTAGAGAGAGGGCTGCTCAACCAAAGAAGATGTGGTCTGTGGCTAAGGGCTGTCCAAAGCGGGAAGGAGACCTGGTGGGAGGTAGTAAGCAGGCACCCAGTGGGGCATTTGGCAGAGCCTGGAGACCGGGGCATGGATGCCACTGGGGAAGTCACTGTTGGATGGCCAGTCCCTTCCAGACCCCACAGATGGCAGTCCTTAGGCCTGTCTCCCTGGGGTCTCTGCTCACCCATGTTGGGAGCCAGGCTCAACCCTCCCAGGCTCCTGTTGGTGAAACAAGTGCTGAGTGTGTTGTGTGGAGGGTGTGGGAACTCAAACCAGGTCCTGGTGGGGTGGCTGCAGCCCGACCCACTCCCTCCCCAGCGGCCCCCTGTGAGGCCCAGCTCTGAGGGAAGATGCACTGAGACCCCATCGAGTGGTCCTTTTTATTTTCAGTCCTTCTTGTTCCGCCCCACAGAGAAACAGGCTCAGGAGCTCAGCAGTGGGGCTGCTTAGGGAATACCGGGAACAGGCCAAGAGGCTTGTCTTGGCCTCAGGGGTACTGCTGCCAGGGCTGAAATTAGGGGCGGAAGAGAGCCGCCATCGTGCCGTTGTGGTTGGGGGAATGGACATGAAGCAGAGGCCCTGGGTGGGAAGTGTAAAGGCCAACCATGCAGCCGGGGGCCAAGGCGAGGAGGGGCCCTCAGGCCTGGGGAGGCCCTGGGGACCGACCCTGGTCTGCCCAGAAGCTGCCCTGTAGGCCTTCTCTGGACTCCCAGATCATGACTTATGTTATCACCGCGGCCGCAGGAACAGGAAGTGGACGTCCATGACGTTGGTGCCCGTCAGCCCTGTGTACAGCAGGTGGGCCCCGCCCTGGAAGCGATGGAAGAAGGTATGTGTGTCGTTGTGGGCTAGGAAAGTGGCCACATCCAGGCCCTCAGCGGTGGCCTGGCTGGCAAGCTCAGGCATAACCCAGGCCCCGGCTGCATCCGTGGGTCCGTCCCTCCCATCGGTGCCGCCACTCAGAAACAGCACGTCGACGGGCCCCAGCGGCCGCTGTCCCAGCTCTGTGGCGACACGCAGGGCCAGTTCCTGGTTCCGGCCACCCTTGCCCGAGCCCTGCAACTGCACGGTGGGCTCCCCACCAGCCAGCAGGCAGATGGGGCCCTGAGCCCCCTTCACGACCTCCAGGGCCTCCTTCAGCTGCAGGTCTGGGAGCTGGAGCGCCGCCGCCTGCTCATGGAGCTGTTCCTCCTCCTCCACAGAGACCCCGGCGCCACCGGGCGGAGTGAGGTGGGCTCCAGCCACTCGGGCCAGCAGCCCGTAAAACGTGGCCACACTTTTCACGTCGCCCTGCATGGCTGCACTCAGCACCACGGCCCGGTACCCCAGCGCCTCCGCCTGCCGCCGGGCCTCAGCCAGTGCCAGTGCGTTGGAGCCGATGATCACATTGAGGACGTGGCCGCAGGTGTGCGGCCCGTGAGGGTCCGAGTCGGCCCGGGCCAGCACAGTTTTCACCGAACGTGGCAGGGCAGCACGGAGGCCATAGCGATTAAGGATGTGCAGGCAATCCTGCACATTGTGGACGCTGGCCACGGTGGGGCCGCTGGCGATCACCTCCACAGGGTCTCCCACCACGTCCGACAGAATCAGGCTTACCACCTGGGAAGAGGTTGAAGATGCAAAGCTGAGTCCCGCCTGGTCCTCACCCCAGAGCTCTGACGACAAACTGCCCCTCCCGACCACCCCACTTCCCATGTAGCCATACACCTTCCACCACCTGCTGCACTTCCTTGGCCCCTTTCTAACACCTCTCAAGTGGGTTTGCAGAACACCTGGCCATGTGGACTCAACCTCGCCCTCTGAGGTCCCTCTTTGATGGTCCTGTGAACTCCATACCAGGTCCCTGCCAATCTGTAAGCTGTTTTAGGCTTTCATCTGCTGGGTACATGTGGGCCTGATTCCACAAACCCAGGGCTGTCTGGGTAAGAAGTGACTCACACACCTGGGCAGGGTAGGCAGCCTGAGCGAGCCCCCCACCCTTGAGCTGGGACAGAGCCTTCCGGATGGTGTTCAGCTCCTGGATTGTGGCTCCGCGGGCCGCCAGCAGCTTGGTGAGTGTCTGCTTCTCCTCCAGTGTGACGGGTGGGATGGGGGCGGGCAGCAGGGCCGAGCCCCCACCTGCAGAGACAGGGAGGACTTCAGGCAGAGGGGACAGCAAGGAAATGTCCTCACCCAGGGATGCAGGTGGGCAGTGAACACATTAGGGAAGGGATGAGGCCTGAAAGGTAGTTAGGGTGCCCCACATGGACATGCAGTGAATGTGTGCAGTCACCACGCCCTGGGCACCTGAGGTTGTGCCCTGCCTTGGGGTACCCCAGGTCCCAGCAGGCACTGGAAGAACTATTCCTTAAGATCTTGAAATAGGTGGCAGATATGGGGGAAGGGGGTGGAGAACCAAGGAGAGGGCTCCATAGGGGCTGCAGGGCCTGGGTTCTAGCCCCAGGTGACATTAGTACAGACAGCAACAACAGCAGTGACATTTCCCTTGCAAGACTCTGAGGTAGGTGCTCCCTGTGTGCTCTCATGATCTGCCAATGGGAACCTAGGGGAGGATCCCACAGCTCAGAGGAGGCCAGATGACTCGCCCAGGGCTGTCTAGAAGTCAGCCATCCAGGTTCCTCACTGCCTTACCTGCTTTGTGTCCCTGGGGGCTCAGACCAATGGTTTCTTGAAGACCTGATATTGCCCCACCCAACTTCCCCAAGCAATCTGGCACCCACACCTGAGATGAGCACGAGCAGCAGGTCGTCAGCTGTCAGCCCTTCGGCCAGCTGCCGGATGGCTAACGCAGCCCGCAGCGAATCACGGTCTGGCAGGTTGTCCTCTGCACCCTCAAAAACCTGGACACGGCTGTGTGGCTTCAGTAGCATCTCCCTCAGGGGAGAAAGAACAGAGAGTAAGAGATGGGGCGGACTCCTCTCCTCCCAATAATTTCCCAGCTGTTCATACCATGATGCCTGCTAATACCCATCCTGGAACCAGGCCAGACCCCGTAGAAAAGGGAAGCTGGTGAGGAAGGGAGGCCCCAATCCAGCCTGAGTCTGGGCCCAGATTCCCCTCCAGATGGACAGTAGGGGGCAGCCCCCCAGAGCTCCTTACTGCTTGCCACTGCACTCCACGGCAGCACGGATCCCCTTGGGAACGCTGATCACGCCCTGCACCAGATGCTGGCCCAGTAGCTCCTCGGCTGCAGCTGCCATGCCCAGCACAGCCTTGCCGAAGCCCACCAGGTAGAGGTTTTGCCGCAGCTGAAAGCTCCGATCCCGCACCTTCAGCTGCCCGCTGCTGGGGTCCAAGGACAGTGCCCGGTGCATCATGGGGCCTGGCAGCACGGCACCAATAGTGTTCTCAAACAGCATCCGAGCCTGCTCTGCCAAGGCCATGCCACTGGCCAGCCGTGCCCCTGGGCCCCCCCAGAGGAGTGGGCGTAATGGGGCTCGGGCCAAGCGGGGCAAGACCTGCAGGGCTACAGCCATGCCCCACTGCTTTCAGCTCCACCTGGCACCCATAGCCGCCTGGAGGGGAAGAAAACACTAATGAGGCAGTTGCAAGGTCAGAGAAGGGAGCCCCTGAGAGCTCAGGGATAGTGGACCCCACAGCTGCTGCTGCAAGAATGGCCCATCTGCCAGTCCCAGGAGACTTCCCGAGGCTCCCAGCTGACGGATCTCACTCCAGTCCTCGGAGCCCAGGCCTGCCACCCAGCCATGCCCTCCTCTTCTGCCGGCCACACAGCGGTCCTCTGAACGCTCTGCCTGGAGTCCAAAGGTCCTGTTAGTTGAGCCCTCCTCCTGGGTCACCCACTTTGGCTGAGAGTTAATCATTCACGGAGTGAGCAATTCCTATCAGTGGGTTCCCGCCCCGCCCCTTGTCCACCCCTTCACTCTGAGCCCTCACCCAGGTGCAACGCCCCTTTCTGGCACTGCTTCCTTGCCTCTTCACCACTTCTGGTGCCAGGAGGCTGCTGGCTGTCCCACCAGCTGACTCAAGCCCATTGACCTCCCGCCTGCTCCTATTCATTAACTTATGGGTCTGTGTGGGACGGCTGCAGGCTTGCCAGGGCACTCACAGGTCCTGAACATCAAGGCATACAGTCTGCGGAGTCCCAGCACTCACGGCCAGCACAACCAGAGGTTCCGTTTCAAATCAGAAGTGGCAGCAAAGTCTCGCTCATGGTGGAACCTCAAAGAAACCCCAGACACCACATGAGGCGATGTACCAGGGGACCCAATCTGCCGGACAGAAAAAGATGCCCTTCCACCTACATGGCTGGCCGGACCCACCCCTGCTAAAAGCATGCCTTTTGGCTCCCACAGAACAAAACAAGCCTTGGGTCACAGCACCCACAGGGGTGAGAGCCAAGTGGCTATGGCAGCGAAAGACCAGGCTCCCACAGCTGAGCCCAAATGATCGTTTTCCCCACGGGGCAGGGAAAATGCTAAAGAAGCCTTGAGGTGAAGGTCAGGAGGCTGTTGAGGAGTTTAGGGACAATAAAAAAACAAAACCAAAGAGCTTATCTCTAAAAAGGCATCTGCTTTCATAAATGCCCACCATAAATGCTGCCAGTTGACTGCAGCAGTGTGTGGACAGAGCAGGGGAAGGCGGCTGGGAACCAGGCTCCAGCTCCACCATGGGCTTTCTGACTGGCTAGGAAAGCTCCATTTCTCTCACTGGCCTCGTCTGCAAAATGAGCAGTGGGAGCCCTGGCTGGTTTGGCTCAGTGGATAGAGCGTCAGCCTGCGGACTGAAGGGTCCCAGGTTCGATTCTGGTCAAGGGCACATGCCTAGGTTGTGGGCTTGATCCCCAGTAGGGGACCTGCAGAAGGCAGCCAATCAATGATTCTCTCTCATCATTGATGTTTCTATCTCTCTTTCCCTCTCCCTTCCTCTTTGAAATCAATAAAGATATATATATATTTAAATGAGAAGTGGGATAAGATTAAGACTAATGCTTTCCCCTTGAAATCCCTGGGCTCTCTGAAGCTGTCCACTGTTAACACACAAAACCTGGACACCAAACACCAATTTATCCCACTCAAAAAACCTGGCAACGTCTCGCCCTCTGAGCCTGCTGGTTTTCCACTTTCCCGTAAGAGACCAACTCTGTCCGCCCTCAGTTGTAAAAGGGAACAGAGAGCACCACCATGCGGACTCTGAAAATGGGCCCAGCTTTTTCCAGGGGGCTCCTGGGGCTGACCCCCATCAGGCTTGGAGTTAAAAGTATCTTAGCATCTAGCAAAAGCTGGGTGAACTTTGTACTTATTCAAAAGCTGGGTGAACTTTGTACTTATTTCCCAAAAGGACACAGGCCTAGAGGATCCCTGCCTTGCTACTGGATAGCAGAGCCCAGGGCAGGAGGGCATTCAAGGTGAAGGTTGCCAGAGAAAATACAGGGCGTCCAGTCAAATTTGAATTTCACACAAATGAGGAATTTTTTTAACAAACAATTAACAATGTCATATTCGTTTCAGGTGTACAACGTAGGGGTTAGGAATTGCTTTAATATAGGGATTTCCCCTAGAATATTTGGGACATATCTATACTGAAATATTACTTGTTTATCTGAGATCCTTATTTAAACAGACTTCCTGTATTTTTATTTCTAAACCCAGCAACTCTAATCAGGACAACTCCTCTCAAACTCCCAGGCACTACAGCGCTAAACCTGGAGATTCCGAGAACATCCGCCGTGACTCCTCCCCGCCGCCAGATGGGGCTAGAACCACTTCCGGCCGTCGCCTGCTGCTGGCACAGGTCCCGGAAGTGACGTCACCTGGGCCGACGCCGCAGGACTTGGCGAGGGAAACGGCTGCGGCGTAATATTGGGTGGTAACCCGAGAAATAGCCCACTGCCGCCGGGGCCCGCTGTGGCCCGGCACAAGGACTGCTTCCGCATGTTTCGCGGCGCAGACTTACCCCCGGTTCCCGGCTGCGGCTTCCAGCGCTGGAGGCCGGAAGGACTCGCTGGTGGGCGGAGCGGAATCCGGAAGTGCGGGGTGGGTGCCAGGTGTGGATGGTGCTGGGAGGAGCGCGGGGGGGATCCGGAGTGAGGCCTAGGGCTTTGGTTCCGCTTAGGCCGCGGAGGAGCGTGAATGGAGTCACTTGGCGCCTCGGTTTCATCTCTGCCATGGGGGTCGTAATTGCCGCCCCACTGGTTGCTGTGATCGTCCCCTCATTTTTCCTGTTCGGAGCAATCAGTCAGCAAATACTTCCCAAGCTCCTGTTAGGTGCCAGGCACTGTACCGAGCAAACGGCCCAGAATCCCAGGATCACTCCTTACCCACAAGCCACCGCTCCGGAGCCAGGTTATGTCATCCTCACCCTCCCAGCGCTGGGGTCCCAAGTAATTGATTGGCGTCTCCCCCACGCCCCCTTCCCCGTGGCAACCAAGTAACAGCTCTGACTCAGCAAGAAGGGGCCTGTAAACACAAGTGACCCTGGGCCTCTCCCTGTCCTCGGGAGGGTGTACTATTTTTCTTTTTTTTAATGAAGGTTCTAGTTTATATTTTATTGATTTTGTTTACAGAGAGAAAGGGAGAGAGAGAGATAGAAACATCCATCAGCTGCCTCCTGCACACCCCCTCCTGGGGATGTGCCCGCAACCAAGGTGCATGCCCTTGACCGGAATCGAACCTGGGACCCTCCAGTCCGCAGGCAGACGCTCTATCCACTGAGCCAAACCGGTTAGGGCGGGAGGGTACACTATTTTGACTACGTTTTCTTGGGGAGATGTGGGGGAGAGCTACATGACAAATCACAGAATAGACTTCCTAACAATCTTAAAACAGGTTTTTCACACCCGCTCTCTAGCAGCTGCCACCTCTCTCCATAGGTCTCCAAACCATGCTCTGCTTTTGTCATAAACTCCTCCTTCCCCCCTTCCTAGCTGTCTCCCTGGGTTTCCCTTTGCCTTTATGCTAGAGGACCTTTTATTCCCTATCAACCGCTCCTAAACGCTTCTCCACCCCATCATCCAAGCACAGGCGCCTTCAGGAGGAGTTGCCTTCTTTATTATTTTTTCTCTCTCACTTACTAGTACAGTTTGCGTTCAGTATTATTTTGTATTAGTTTCAGGTGTACCGCATAGTGGTTAGATAATCATATACTTTACACAGTGTTCTCTCCCTCCACCCCCATGTTTCCAGTGCCCACCTGGCACCGTTCGTAGTTATTACAATGTTATTATTGACTATATTCCCTACACTGTACTTTACATCCCCGGATCTTCCTTCTTTAAATTTGGGGAGATTGGAAAAACTTAAAGTTTCAGTTTGTCCTCACTTACAATAAGCTGTCTTCATCCATGCACGCATTTATTCACTCCTCCATCATTCAGCAGTCATTTCCCGAGTGTCTTCTTTGTGGGCCACGTGCTGTAACTGCTGCAATGAGTAAGAAGTGGTTGTTTCAGATGGGAAATGTACTCTGCTTTTGTAACTGCATTCCCACATTGGTGAGAGGAGTGTCAATTTGAGCAACTCTCTAATTATTTAGTGCCAGAGACTCATAAACAGACACCATGTACTGTGCCCGTGCTGTTCTGTCAGACTGTAAGCAGGGGACTAACTGTACCCATTTTTTAACCTCCCACCGCACCCCACAACTACTCACAAGATGCATTTAACAACAGCATAAGTTTTAGATGCCCACTGGACTGTGAGCTTCTGGAATGTCATGACTTGGTCTAATTTGTATTTGTACTGCCTTGCGTAGGACCAGGCACAAAAAGAAACTGGAATTTCTTTCTTCTTCTTTTTTTTTTTTTTTAAATGAATTAAGACAACAGTGAAATGCTCAACTACAAATTGCTACAGACCCTAGGTGGAAAGGATTTCACAAAAGGAAAAGAGTTGGTGGTGAATAGAAGTAGAAGGCTTCATTGAGTGGTGGGGTTTAGATCTAAAAAAAAACCCAGAATATTCAGCTCATCCGAATAATAACACATCTCTGGATAGTGGGCATGAATATGTCTACAGTCTTTTTTTAATCCTTACCCACGGATATGTTTAGAGAGAGGAAGGGAGAGAAAGAAAGAGATTCCTGACTGAGAATCGAACCTTCAACTTTTTTGGTGTACAGGACAATGCTCCAACCAACTGGCCACCTGCCAGGGCTGTCAATAGTCTTTTAAAGAGCACTTTGGCAATAAATATCAATATCAATAAATATAAAAAATGTGACATCCAGTTTCAGTCCAAAGAAATAATTGGATATGCGGACAAAGATGGTGTAGGGAAGGGAAAAACTTTTTCCTTTACAGTCTTAGGTTCAATGGTGGAGGCCCTACAAATTAAACTGACAGAAAACAGATTAATGGGAGAAAAAGGTTTATTTTATATGCACATGGTGGCGGGGGGCTAACAGAAATGAAGTGAGGACTCCAAAGAAGACAGTAGGCCTGAGACCTTATACACCCATTTTAACAAAGAGTGATAAATTATGGAGATGGACAAGATAGAGGGGGTTTGAGTGACAAGGGGCAGTACATTGTGGGAAAATAATTATATGGGAGAAATAAGGATTGCTGTAGTAAGATTTGTTTGCACAGACTCATCTTGGCATTGGTTCCCCATCTCCTGGTACCAGAATGGCACAATTTCTCACGGAAAATTTATGTCCTGCTTTTCAGTAGAAAGGAGGAGGACAGGGAGCCCTTTGTGTGTCTGCTGTTTCTCAGCATGACTGTATGCTAAAGTGGCAAATTTAGGGTGATGTACTCTGATCCCTTCAGTGGATATGGAGAGGTATTCATCCCAGAAATTTTCTGAGTGTAAAGCAATGTAAATATCCATTGATGATAGAATTTATACAATTAAGTTTATAGTGCTTCTAAAAATATTAATATTAATTCTAATATTATTAAGGCTACATAGATGTTATTTTTTTAAGATGCTATTTTATGAATTAAGGAAACTGTTGAAAGGCCATTAAAGTAGATTATAAGCTTTCCCTATTCAAGCAAGCTGAATTACACATACCCTACTGGGGGAGGGGTTACTGAATTTATTTTTTCGAGTTAAGCTTTATTTTACATGTTCCCTTTGAGAGCAAAGGAAGAGATTGTTCCTGGGTGCTGTTGGATGATAGTGACACAGGGAAGGTGGCAACAGTGCACCCATCTCCACTAACACTGCTGAATCTCAGGAACCCCTGTAAATCTGAAACCCAACCCCCTTCTCTGCTCAAGGGGGTCGTCAGGGTAGTGAGTAGTGCTCCGTCTTGGGCTTTCTGACCTGGAACTTCACTGTAAATGTATCCTGCTTGTTGAAGAAGCTGGTCACACATGATGTGCAACCATTTGAGGTTTCAGATGCCTCAGTATGTTGGAAGTGTTAGTTCATGTTATCACAGCAAGCTAGCAGTCGTACTCCTAAAGCACCTGCTCTTCTATGGACATTCATCCTGTTGTCCTCCAGCTTCCAACCCATAGAGCAGTTTACCCCGAAATCCAGGTCTCACCTTCCAGCACTTCCCGCCCCCTTGTGGTCGAGTTCAGGCAGTCGGCTAGTTGTGGCCAATGAGTTGTGAGTGGAAGTGATAGGGGTGGGGTCACTTCTGGCCATTTACTTGCCCGTGAGGTTTTCCTGAGCATTTTTTCTCTTCACCTGGCAGTTGGCAACATTCAACCCGAAACCCTGAGTGAGTGATGGGAAGAGACACCCGGCCAACCCACAACGGACATGTATCGGAAGTAGAAAATAAACCTTGGATGTTTGAATTACTAAGATGTGGGGGTTTGTGTTACTGGGCCATTACCTAGCCCATCCTGGCTAAGCTCACTTTATCCTGTAGACCTGCATCTTAGAAGCTAGATCTCCTCTGGTTAATGTTAGATCATCCAGAAACTGTTGGTTCTCACTGGCATTCACCTTGCCAGACATGCTTCTGGTCACACACTGTTCATGCTTGCACACCTTTTCTTGAGGCATAGAACAACAATGAAGAGATCAAGAACATTTTGCTGTGTATACACAAACTCAGGAGAGTCTTGTGCACTACTTAATACCTCGAAGCAGGGGCACAAAGCAGAAAACAGCTTCCACAAATAGAAATTCTTTGCTTCAGTCTTAGATTCCAGCAGTGGGGCAGATTTTTATTCCATCAGTTCATGTGGCTTTTGCCCCGCCCCCCTGCCTTTTTTAAAAGGTGGTGTATTTTTTAAAAATTTATTTTCAATTGACTTGAGAGAGAGAGAGAGAGAGGAATTGAACCCGAAACCTGGGCATGTGCCCTGACCAGGACAGTGCTCAACCAGCTAAGCCACACTGGTCAGGATTGCCCCTACCCCTTTTATTGCACTTTACCTGTGACTGAACAGAGGTAAATGATCGCAAGAATTCAGGACCAGCAGGAAATGTAGGATTGATTTAAAACCAGAAATAAAAATAGTGAATATCAATGTGTTCCGTCTTCTCTCCAATGAGGTGAACAAAGTTTGGTTATTCAGCCCTGAAAAGTATTGTGAATTATGATAGTGCATTCATACAGAACCTGTAAAAAGTTCTGCCACCGTAAAATCCATGGTGAAAGTAAAGTAGTGATTTTTTTTTAATGTATGCAAAACCTGAGATAAGTCAGAGGGTATCAGTCATCAACTCCAAACTGGAGGCAGCTGCCTTCTCAGGGCGGCACTGCTGGGCTTCACGGCCTCCCCCCACTCGTCCTTCACATCCGGGACCTTGGGGTTCAGCCCCCTCTTCCTAAGCATTCAACCCTAATGCCTCGCAAGAGTCTGCACGGAGGCGTGGAAGGGCTCTGCAGTGAGCTTTCGGGACTCCCCTCTGCCGCCCCTGCCTTGTGCTCTGCACTGCTGGACCCTGGCCAGGGCAGGGCCAGGGGGAGCTCTGGGAGACCCAAAGCTCTGGTGCTAGAATGGTGTTATGAAGGCTTGTTCTGGGGGCAGGAGCAGTTGAGGCGGTGCTGGAGGAGAGAGAGAACAGAGCTCTTTTAAGTAAGGACTGTAAACCCCTTAAAACTGTGTGTGTGTTTTTAAAGGAGGGGTAGGGGAGCATACAAACAGCTCAGCCTGGACTGGTGGGTAGCTGATGAGGAGCGGCTAGGGCTGTATAGGCTGGGTTATGAGATGGGGCAGTTAAGCCTTTGAAACAGTTGTATACTTTTAGAGACAAGAGGTTCTGGGAGGCTAGGCGGCTCTTCCTGGCTCTGAGCTGCCGGCTTATCTGGGAAGCTCCTATCCCTTCCTTCCACAACAAGAAGGCATTGTTGAGCTACAATGGACTCAGTTACAAGTGAAACAATTACCTAGCCTTTGCCCTGGAAGCCCGGCTGGAGAGTGCGAAACCAGCCTCCAGGGCTTACTGGCTGGGTGACCTTGGGAACGTTACTTAACCTCACAAAACCCCAGGGTCTTCATCATTAAAATGGGGTTAAGAGCATGACATGTGTTTAAAGTGCACACAGAAAGGCTCCAAGTTGTGGCCGTACTGTTTCTGAGCTGGGCCAGATTAATGGGTGTGTGACCTATGCAGTCACCAGGGAACAAGGCCAGAAGGGGTCCCACACTGGGTTTAATAGTCTGCTGTTGCTGTCTTGCAATTCTTAGCAGTTTCTGTGAGGGAGAGCCCATATTTTTATTTGGCACTGGGTCCGGCAGATTATGTCACCAGTCCTACTATCTGGAGAAGAATGGTATTACGGGCCCTATAGCCCAGGAGTCTCAGGATCTGTCTGAGGAAGTCGTCAGTGGCTACACGTCAGGAGAGCCAGGGTTACACACTGGGTGAGGCGGAGGTGGCACTGTCTCCCAGGCAGTACTGAGGCTGTAAGGACAAAGTCTGAGCTCCCCACCGCTAGACAGGTCCCTCCCGCCACTTGGCCCAGGAGAGCTCTTGTATTTTATTTATTTATTTTAAAATATATATTTTATTGATTTTTTACAGAGAGGAAGGGAGAGGGATAGAGAATTAGAAACATCGATCAGCTGCCTCCTGCACACCCCCCACTGGAGATGTGCCCACAACCCAGGTACATGCCCTTGACCGGAATCAAACCCGGGACCCCTCAGTCCGCAGGCCGACGCTCTATCCACTGAGCCAAACCGGTCAGGGCAAGGAGAGCTCTTTTAGCAAGAGCCTAGAAACCCTCGGCCTGGCTCACTCCGTAGCTGAAGGTCACACTTTGAGTCTCCCACAGGCTGACCCCTTGGGAAAACTAAGCACAGCCTGTAATTCAGAAGTGCACAAGCTGCAGGAATTACATGAAGTCAGCCACAGGTTCCTTGCAAAAAACCCCACAAAGTCAAATGTTCTAATCTTTTTTGAAAATGTTTTTATTGATTTTAGAGAGGAAGGGAGAAACACCTATGTGAGAGAACCGTCTGTCAGATGCCTCCTGCACGCCCCCTACTGGGGATTGAGTCCACAACCCTGTGCTCTGGGAATTGAACCAGGAATGCTCAACCAACAGAGCCACACCGGCCAGAGTAAATATTCTACCCTTTTGTTTTTATTTTTATTTTTTGTTAATTCTCACCTGAGTATATATTTTCCATTGATTTTTAGATAGAGTGGAAGGGAGGGAGGGAGGGGAAAGAGGGAGAGAAGAGAAGGGAGAGAGATAAGTGGAGTGGTTGCCTCCTGCATGGTTGCCTCGGAACCGGGGCAGGGATCGAACTTGCAGCCCAGATACTTGTCCTTGACCGAGAATGGAACCTGTGTGTGGGCCAATGCTCTAACCCAGCCGTGGGCAAACTACGGCCCGCGGGCCGGATCCGGCCCATTGGGCTGTTCTATCTGGCCCGCGGAGCCGAAAGAGCGGAGGGTTCTCTTGCTCTCCCCTCCACTCCTTCACCAGCAGCAGTGTTAACATGGCAACGTCGGGAAACACGGCCGCAGCTCCTTCTTCTGAGTCCAGTTTAAGAACCCATTGTGGCCCTCGAGTCAAAAAGTTTGCCCACCCCTGCTCTAACCACTGAGCTGTATGGACCAGGGCCTCTACTCTTTCAAAATGCTTGTAAGCAGATATTAATTTGGTCATCAGAAGAAAATAAAACAAGCAAGAAACAAGTAGAAAATATGTTTCAAGTAAAATAGAACCATTGCTGAGGTCGCCTTTGACTCCACAGAAGATGTTTGTGATTTTCATTTGATGTGAGTGTTACCTCTGCTCATGGTCATCCTAGAACATTTATTTCCTCCTGGTGGTAAGTGACATGATGCATTCATTTAGAAAATACAGCAATTCGTCAGGTAAGAAGCAGTTGTATGAGACTGTGTGTGACAATTGAAACATGCTATTCAGAATTACTGTGGGTTGCAATCATGTTCCAACATTCTGCTCTTCCTCTTTGGCAATTTAACTTACACACACACACACACACACACACACACACACAGCCTTCCCAGAGAGTCACCTGACTCTAGTTATTGTGAAGGCTTGTGTAAAAACTTGAGGGGGAGCAGAATAGTCTCCCCATAATGTGCCACTTTCGCATGTGGATTGTTTTGAGCTGAAGGCAATTAAGAGCCAGAAGACTCTTTTTCCCCGTTAACTGCCTAAAAGAATTTTAAAAGGGGGTCTATACCAACCAGGGAGAGAGCTGTTATCAGAGACAACTTTGTACACCAGAAAGATTTATCTGCATGCTGCGGCAAACATTGTTTTTACCAAAGTTTTGCTCTTCTTATCTTCCTGTGAATTGTCTTCCTCCCTTTTGAGGTCCCAGACCCCTACCTTCTCCTCAGCTCAGGATGGTATAAAAATCTAAATTGCCTGACCACCTTGGATTCTGCCTTTGTGGAACTCCTGTACATCAGGGTGGGGCAAAAATAAGTTTACAGTTGTGAGTACACAAAACAGAGTTCATTCTTGTTTTACTATTTATTTCATTGTATTATTTTCCATACGGACAACTGTAAACCTACTTTTGCCCCATCCTGTATATACAGAATTAAACTTGTTTTTCTGTTAATCTGTCATGTCAGGTTTTTTTTCTTTTTCTTTTTTGTCTTATGTCAATCTTTATGTATTAGATCTGCCATCTAATCTAAAAGGAAAGGAGGGAAATGTTTTTCTCCCAAACAAGCTTAATCAAGTTCCAGAGAAGTTCCACTTTAACTCAAATTTATCTCAAAGAATTGGAATTTGTAAGGAGCCATCAGTTTTGGAAAGAAGATATATGGCTTAGTACAGATACCACTTTAAACTGTGTATCATGAAATGTAAACATTTAATAAATGGGCCAATCCCGCCCTTGCCAGTTGCTCAGTGGTTAGAGCATTGGCCCAAGGACTGAAGGGTCATGGGTTCGATTCCGGTCAAGGTCGTGTACCTCAGTTGCAGGCTCAATCCCTGATCACTGTCAGGGTGAGAGCAGGAAGCAACCAATCCATGAGTCTCTCACATCGATGTTTCTCTCTCTCTCTCTCTCTCTCTCTCTCTCTCTCTCTCTCTCTCTCTCTCTTCTTCCCTCCCCCCTCTCTCTCTCCTCCCTGCCACTCTCTAAAAATCAATGGAAAAAATATCCTCGGGTAAGGATTAACACCCCCCCCCCCAAATTAAAAAGAAATGGGCCAATCCTAACCCTATTGTAATCATTTCACAACATACAAGTGGATCAAGTCATTACATTGTACACTATTAAACAAAAACCTTTGTCGCTGAAAGCTTTTCTGAACGTAAGGGTTCATTGAGCCACGTGCTAGGCAGAAAAAGGACGAAGGACGAGGTCCTGGGGCATGCAGTCTAAACCAGCGGCAGCAG